CGATAGCGATCAAAAGTTAAAATAATCCTTCCTGTAGGAGAGCGTGTTTTTCCGTCATCATTCAGTTTGGTTAATTTATATGCTTCAGTCACTCCTTGAATGCCCATTTCGCGAACAATTTCATCTTCCGGCACATGCTTTAAGCAAGGGGCATAAATTACGCCTTGAACCGAGTTAAGTTTCTCATGTAGTTTAGCTGAAATAGCACATAGATTACCTAAGGAATTGGCCTTTATTAGTTTTTCGGTTGCGCGCGGGTTCCCAGCGAGGACAGTAAATTCCCATCGCGTAGAATCGAGATCGAGTCGATGTATGTTGTAATGCTATCTAGAGTTTTTTTTATAGCAAAAGGGCTAATTTGGGAAATTGTTATTCGAGCATCGGTTGAAGAAATAACAATATATTTTTTACCAATAGGGATTATATCGCTGATCGGCAACACCGGAAAATCTGATTTTTTACTTTTTTTTCTTTGGGGGGATGTATCACTTAATAGATAAAATCTATTCGGGTTTTTGTCTGGCGGCCCCGGGGCCATTATGCCTTATTGTTGTCTATTTATTATTATTTTTGAAATAACCACTCACTTGAAAAGGTTTGGGAACTGTGCAAGAAGGTTGGGAACTACTAAAGAAAAGTGTCAAATGTTTTCAATTTTTTTATTTTTTTTATTTTGTTTTTTTGTTTTCTATTTTTTATTATATATAGACGAAACAAAAGCACATACGCGATGTCCGCGTTAACCAGTTTTAGCAATAACACTGAAAAGACAGAAGTTAAATACACAAAAACACCGAAAACACCGAAACAATTGAAAAAACGCAGTCGACCCGTCTATCAAACTCTTATTGTTAAAAGATATTAAATTAATAAATACAAAAAAAGATTAAAAATTTAATCTAAAAATGGTGAATACATTGTAACTGTGTTTCTTAGTCGGGGTATAAGCTTTCCAGAAATTCATAGACAAGAAAATTTATAACACTTGGATTTTCGAGTTTTCCTTTGCAAGTTTAATTTTATTTGCTTGTAGAAGAGTTGATTTACAAATGGAAAATGTCCTTATGACTTAAGAGTGCAGGAAATAAATAAAAAGCACACCTATGTGGGAGATTTACTTTAGTTCCGAATCTGATTTCGGGCTCGCGGTTTAAAGTATACTTTCTGGCCTTGGGAATAAATGCTTTGTGGTAAAGCAGCCAGACCTCAGGAAGGATTTATGGCCAACCTACTACCACTACCGTTTAGGCCTATTCGCTCAAGTGGCTATTCAGTAATAATAGTTGATCCCTGTCTGAAGGGTCTAGTCAAACTTTTGTCTTAGTACTAGAGAACTTACCTCCCCGGATGCCCTAGATGTGTATAGCGATCAGTATATCTGTATCCTGCGTTACCATCCTACCATCCTAATACAATCCGTCTTCCTAGGGAATATCAGTTATTTAAGTCAATTCCGACACTCAATTAAATGGCTATCGTACGAATTACCGGATTGTAATAATACCTAGTGTTTTGATCATAATATAACCCTGATGTTGGCTCGTAAACTACGTTTTTGATATTTGGAGCGTTTTGGGCTACTTGGCGCATCTCGTCCACAAAAGTAAAGGCATCATTAGCTGAAACTATTAAATAAACTTTAGTTAGCAATCCCTCAATTCGCTTCGCTATTGAACGAAACCATAAAGAAAATCAAGCCGCTTGAAGGCATTTTTATGCGCGGTTCGGAAACTTCTTAGAGATTATTCTTTCGACTGAAACTCAATGCGGTAGTTTTTAAATTAACGCAATAGCCTCAGCTGCTAGTATCTTAACGCTTTAGTCCTGGAAGTCATTCTTCGGTTAAGTTAATAATAAAAATGATAATAAATTGATTTTTATAGTTCAGTTGGTTACAAGCACCTATTATGCATAAAAGTAAGAGTTATATGTGTACACAGGTACTTCAAAACTTGCTTACTGATATACTACTATACTCAAACATAACATTACTACAAATATTGTTACGCGTACTTGATGACTATCTAGAGTTGGCAGTTATGATGACATTGGATCATGAAGAGTGTACACTGCGTGGGCATGGAAGCGTATCAATGCCAACTTTAATCGTAGTTACGAAAACGACCCTAATGCTGGCTTTTCGACGTCGGATCTTCACTGTCTTGAAATAGGATCATAAAGACATCTCTTGGAATACCTTTTCTGCATTTCTAGCTTGTAAATGTATTGGTACTTAAGAAAAATCTTGGATGGATGTAACAATGAATCAGAAAGCAAAAGTTAAATAGGTTCACGCTTCTTCATTATGTTTGTAAAAGTAAATGGTACTGCGCGACGCATCAAGGCCTTTCTGTATAGCGAAATTAACGGCTGCATCCCTTGAAAAAGAAAAAAACCGGCTTATGTGTGATATTTCTCTTAAAGCAGTCATATGTCCTACACAAATATAATATCTCCCTTTTTTGAATAGGCCGGTACCGCGCTGGCCACAGTTGAAAACCCATATGAATAGACTACTGCTTCCTCCATTCTCATAAATTTTGCAAGACGGTCTTCTAAATCCAGGTGAACGTCCATGGTACCGTAGATACCACGCGGACCGCAGGAGCCTACACCATATTTGCGTAAACTCTTGCAAGCATCTTCCAGAATCTCTTCATCTTCCAGTGAACCCAAATAGTTATGTGAAGCCAAGTTTAAACAATCATAACCGTTCACCACTACTCGTTTACCCACTTTAGATTGAACGAGACGAACATGCAAAAGTGGATGATTTGGATCAGTGTGCGGCAGTATGACTGTAAAAACTACACGCAAGACTTGGGACCCTTATATCATTTGAAACTTAATTCCTTGTAACAACAAACCTAAAAGAAAATGTAGCGCAAGCATGTTAAGAACAGCTGTTTCTTTTAATTAATTCGATTATCGTTGATTATATTTAATTTCCAATCGAATATTTCGATTAAAATGAATAAACTAAATGAATAAATATTTGTTTAGATATTTGTGTATATATTTGTAAATAACACGGTTTGCCAATACACTTTCTGGTCGTATAGTATACTTTTCTGGTCGTATAGTTTTGACAGTTTCAATGATTAACAAAACTTAACATTTTGATGAAAGTTTGAATTTTTGTATACAAAACATCATCATATGTATATATATATATAGATATATACATATACTTGAAACATAAGAGTGTAGTAATGTTGTTTTGTGGGTGTTGATTCCACTCTTCTCCCAGCAGCAATTGCACACTTTTAAAAAGTTCACTGCAATCAATTATTCATTAAAACGTTCATAAAAAACGTTTCATTCCTAAAGCGTTTCAACTTTTGAACAAAATTTAACTGAAAATCCGTATTATTCTCAAAAAATTAGGTCATGTTTAAGCTCCATACAACAAACACTGGTTGCATTTTAACGATCTCTTCCATAGAGATCCAATTTAATCGGTTTCTTTTGCAAATTTTGTTTGAAATTATTTTAAATCGAAAATTTCACAAAGGTGAAGTGGAAGCCAACGAACTTTTCCGAAATCGACTTACTCACATCATCACCGCCCGTCACGAGCAAAATTTACTGTATATCAATGGTAAGTTTGTGTTCATAATTTGCAGGAAAATTCAGTATTCACTACATTGTTCCATTGTACAGATCATCACCAACAAACGCATCGCTCAGCAAGCAGCACACCGCCAATATATTTATATACTTATTTATCTTATGTGTGACTCTATTATATTATTTTATATTATATATTATATTTATTTATGTAAAAAAAAATTGCGCGTGGCTTTATTTATTGTTATTGTTATTATATATGTATATTATTATTAGTATTATTATAGTTTTAAATTAAGATTAACAATGGTTTGTGCCTACAGGGGATGCCAATCATTTAAAACAATGTTATTATATATGTATATTATTATTAGTATTATTATAGTTTTAAATTAAGTTTTAACAATGGTTTGGGCCTATAGGGGATGCCAATCATTTAAAACAATTGGCAACGCGCCTATCACGGTACATCAAGGTGGTGCAGAAAGCCGTGTGAACTGATAATGATAATGATTTTAATTCTTTCTGATTCTTTTATAAATAGCGATAAAGCGTACTGCAAACGAAAGCTCGGGCAAAAATATATGTAATAAAAACGCATAAAACACATGTAATAAAAACGAATATTAGAGAAAAGCTTACAACACACTATCAAGCAGCACACCACCAAGCAAAAATATGTACATATATATATATTTGTATGTTTATTTATTTTTATTGCATACGTATGTCTTCATGGATATTATTTTTTCTCTTCAGATCGTTCCTCACGAATTGTTTTACCCTTTCAAATGAAGTTAATCAACGTCACGTTTCAGAATATAAAAGCATTAGCAAGTTACCTAAGACCATATATTATTACTATTATTATTACTATTAATTTCGCCAGAGAAATAAATTCTAAGACCTCTACCGCACTTGAGATTCGAACCCACGACCATTGACTTGCTAGCAAGAAATAGTGCTTTCTTAAAATATACGCATTAAAAGCGAAGCTATTAAATAAAAAATTTCTGATAATAACAATGCGAATTAATGGACATTGATATTGAATTATGCTTAGAAAATTAACAGCTGCTATGCTAGACAAAGGAATTTAAGCATTGTAGTTTCATGCAAAAGCAACTTTGAAAATTTCATTAAAAATTGTGTAAAAAAGTCTGTTATAAACAAAAGAAAAAATATGTCAACACAACCAGAGAATTCGTTGCACGACCAGAGAATTCGTTGTACGACCAGAAAAGTTTGTTGTACGACCAGAGAATTCGTTGTACGACCAGA